CTAAGAGAATATATGTGTATATTAATATTCTCTAAAGAAGAAAAAAAGAGGCATCATCGAAGTTTTATGAGAACAATACCAATCTTCAATAGTTGATGTTTGACTCAATACTATTGATTGCTACTTCTTATTTTTGCAGCAGAGGAACACAAATTACTACGCTTTTGAAGAAAAGTGCTATATTTTCAGCCGGTACATTGGGGAACAGTTAAAGCAATCTTTATTTAATTTGTTTTGCAGAGACCAGAAGACTTGTGGGCAATCCATTCTCAACCAGTTTTCCCACGGCCTCACCGAAAGGAAAGCTCTTCCTGGATAGCAATGCAAAAGGTAATAATTACAGATCGAGTATCCTGCTCTAAATTTATCTGATAGCATACCATTCAAACTTATTATTAGAATGTTTACTTTGTTTGGTGCAATTGAAACTTCAGGGATTACAGTCTGTTGGACTCAGTATAAAGTTTCTCTGTAGACTCTCTGTTTGCATCTCAGAGCAGTCTTAGTATAATTATCTCTTTCTCTTTCTCTCTCTCTCCCTCTTGCTAATTTATCGACCTGAGCGTTCTAGATAAGCGCAAGTGGAGATAAAATTGGACTACACAATTTCAAGCCCATAAAACCCTTGGGTTGTGGTGATACTGGCAGGTACTATTTCCATACATTTCAAGCATAGTTTAACTGACTTAAGTAACTCCACATAGAAATTTTTGCTGGATTTGACAGTGAGATCTGATAGTTTAGTAATGTTGCTTTAGGTTTGTCTCCCTCCATAAGCTGACATTAGAGCTTGTCAACATATATAATTACCCATCTGCTATGAACGCTTGTTTTCTCAAAGTTGGTTTTTTTATGCTACTTTTAAATAAAGGTGGTAACATATTCTCTTAACATCAAAGCTTGAACTTGTATATTTACATTCTGAAAATCTTCCTCACATTCAACCTCCAATAGTGGAGAGAGCAGCTTTAGAATCTTAATTATGGTGCCTTTCAATCATTGTTATTATGAGAAACTTGCTTTCTGGTTTCTTCTATGTTATTGGTTGTTATTTACATTCACAATAGTAACAGAAATAAGAGAAAGGTATCTTCTGTAGCTTGTTCGAACTACCTGACTTATCTACATTGATATATGCTACTATCATATTCATCAGTGTCCTAGCATGATTGCTTTATGACTGCTCAGCAACATTCCTGTTACTTCTTTCTAAGCTTCACCATCTCCATGTTATAGTTATTACTTTTCAATACTAAAATAAGTCGTCCTGAGCTTCACCTAAATCACCTCTTGTTCTTTTTCTTTTCTGATGCAGTGTTCATTTGGTTGAACTAAAAGGAACTGGTGAACTGTATGCTATGAAGGCAATGGAGAAATCTGTCATGTTAAATCGTAACAAGGTATTGCTATATAAGGACAAATTATTTGCTTCTCCAAGGTAAAATTTTTGTTTTGTTTCATGTCAGTTTCCCTGGAAGTCTATATATAGGCGAATTTCTATATCTATTTATATGATCAGAAAGGTAATTAATATGCAAGAAATGCTCTGCTAGTTTGCCAATTATCCAAAAAACTGTGAGGTTTAGTCAAAACAAACTAAACATATAAAGCAGCACACATGAAACTCTTTGCCTCACCTGCATGTGAGACTCTAATTTGCATGTGGAAGCCATAAACTCTTCCTTCTCTCTCTCTCTCTCTCTATCTATATATATATATATAAATATTCACAGATCACAAATGCTAGGTCAGGATGGTAAGGGTGGTTGGAACTGCATCATTGAGTTTCAGAAATGAGGAGGGTGCCATTGAACCAAAAGGGCTTTGAGCATCCAGAACAGTTTTGGTTTGTGGAGAAGAATATCAGTGTTCGTAGTAATTCTTTATGGAAAATAATATCCCACTGATTGATGTACAGGTTCATCGTGCATGCATTGAGAGGGAAATTATTTCTCAACTGGATCATCCTTTCCTTCCCACACTATATGTTTCCTTTCAGGTATTCTCATTTTCATTGCCATAACGTCTCTTTTTCTGTTCAATAATATTGCGTGTTTTTAATACTATCTACATAAGCATGCCTGCATGTCTGATTAAGGTATTATAGTTCTTTAACCATAGCAGATACCTGCAACTGGAATTCCATTATTACCTCTAGCAAAATCCTTTTTCTTGAGTTATATTGGTCCATTTTACTGATACATACTAAATGGCTTAAAGAAATCTCTTGCATCTTCTTTTATTCTCTTTATGTCCTCAAAAGGCTCTATGCTTTCACCCATTATTTGTTTGTTATAAACATGAGTTCCCACCTTCCATAAAACAGGATATATTGCACATACCGCATGCCTATTTTGGTATGTCTTGCATTAGTATTATGGGATGGGTTCTATATGTTGCAGTTTCACATAAAAGTGCTGAAGGATTTAAATGGAATATTAACTGGTTAATTGAGTTCATAATTGATGAGCAAAACTCTAACTAAGAAGTCTTTGCCCAAATACAAGAACTATTATTACCCTAAGAGTAGTAAATTCAATCAGAATGTCTAAACACTTTTCTGTTTGAAGTTGAACCCTCTCGTTTAGGTGTTGCCTCTCATATATTTTTCACTTTTTTTTTTGCTTCTACTTATGCTTGCATCAAAGATCTTTGTCTTCTCTTTTCTTTTGTTCTGACAAGAGATACTAATTAAAGTAAGGGATTTTTCCTTACC